CTTTAAGCTCCTGTTCTTGATCCCCTCAATTTAATTGCTAATGTGAAATTTAGCTCTGGGGACATCTCTGAACAGACACCATTGACAAGAATGTCAGTCCAGAAGTGTTACCTGATCTTGCTGTGTTTTCATGGTGTCCATTAGTAAAGGAGTCTTAATGGGGCAAACACACTTGTAACTCAAGATCACCTTCACCCAATCAGCCACTGCTCAAATACTTCTTACCTGTTTAAACCTTCTTCCCTTGATGAAAATTCGTGGTAACAGAAGAGAGGTGAGTGGTGGTGATATAAAATATGTGCCATCAGGCACAAATATGTTTTATGAACTCGTGTCACATGAAGCCTTGGGAAATCTTATACACGTGAATGCTTTCACAAATTATGTTTATCTTGTACGTGCACAGAAGCAAACCACAGTTTTGTAGTCTTCAGGGTATCTGCAAGTGGGTCTGTTCTTGCTGATTCAGTCTGAGCTAAGAAATATATCAGTAAGGCTCTAGACTGTGCAGGGTCACTTCAGATGGATGGAGCTGTATGAAATTCCTTGTTGAGATTTGAAAGCAGATAAAATTCAGGTGGTTTTACTCTTCAGTATGATGTGAATTTCTTACTAGTTCAGGAAAAGTAAGTGAAATGACTAGTTGGAGTGTCACAGAAGTGATTAAATTGTTCTTCCAGGTTCTGCTGTTACAGGAAGGGAAGGAAACCGTAGTTTCAGAAAGAGGAAAGTAAGCCCAATTACCTCTGAGTAAAACTGGCAATTTTCTTTTTACCTCTTTCCTCGCAGAAAAGATGTTAGAATCATGTTCTGTAGAATGGAATAGTCAAAATAAGAAAAGAGGGTTAAATATTTAGGTCAGTTATATGAGGCTTAATTACAGCACTATATATTAGATGCTTTCCAGCATTAGCAGCAATGTCCCCCATGTTCCCTCTCACCTCTGCAGCTCAGGAACCTGCAGAACACAGTATCACATCACTTTCAATTGCATTATAACTTCTAATTATGGATATGGTTCAATTTCTTCACTTAAAGGAGTTTTTGTTCGCTTTTCATCTTCACATTTGATCTCACAGAGGGGTGATCACAGTGTGGCAGTAAATGAGGTGCATTGGGTAAGTTTTTCTAAGTATCAAAAGAATTTTTGAGGTTTCTCAGGTTAGTTACAAGCTCTGGCATTTCGAGCAATGACAGCAGAAGGAAAACCACGCAGCTATGAGTAATTTGCCATTTCCCAATAACCTTCCAAATAGAACTGAGTGGGTTTTGCATGGCTTTCACAATTGCTTTGAAGAGCATTCAAATGTACCTCTCATGTTGAAACAGCCTTGTGCTTAGGTTTCCCACACACCAGCCAGTAGTGTGTCCTAAGCAGTCTTCTGCAGGGCATTCCCAGACTCATATGTGAGAATTTAGTGGTTGAACCACTCCTGTTTCTTCCATGCAGCTGCCAAACCAGTTGTTTTAGCTATTGACTTTCCCTTTTAATCTTTGCTGTCTTGGCTACTCACGTGTACTAAAGAATGAATGTTAATAACTCGGATGATGACAGAAGTACCGAACACAAACTTGTTTAAACTGGGCACATAATTTGAAATTTTTAAGAGGAATCTTCAAGTGGGAGCAAGTTCTTCACCCACAGGGTTGTAGGTTCTGTTAGCTTTTCGATACCTGTTTGAAAGCAGGACTTCTATATTTTCTTCTCAATCCTGTGTCAGAGAAAAGCTCCTCTGAATTAATATAAACTTGTAACAATTAGGGAAACAGGGCCTGTATGGACCATGAAATACGTGGCATCTCCCTTGGGAAAATGGTATGGAGGGGTGTAGTCAATGTCTGGTCCAGGAGGATCTGCTGAGTAAGGACTACATGTTTCTCCATGTGTCATAGCCCACAGAAAATTCCCCATAGAAATGTGAGACCTACAGCAGAAGATCAATTGTCCCCACAGTATTGCACATTATAATGCCAGAAGACAAGAGCAAAAGAAATAAAAGCCATGGCTATTTGAGTATTTGCCATAGAAGCCCATTGATGAATAACATTCTAGCAGTCCTAGGAATGGGTTTTGATGGACAAACCAAAAACATCAGTGGTCTTTGCCACTCTTGGGACACATATTTCATCCCTGTGGCGCTGACCATATCAATATAGTTTGAAGTTTAATTCCTAATGAACAATCCCTTAGGCTCCCTGCAGCTGTGGGAAAGTTTCTCATTATGTTCTGCAGGGCTTAATTTTCCATGCAGGGCTGTTCATGTTTTTAGTTCAAGGGAAAAAAAAAAAATTAAAAAAGCCTGACTGATGAGAGATGTTGGAGAAAAAAGACTGCTGGTGAAAATACACTGAGCAAGGAATCAATCCTTATTTAGGAGAGAAGACACTGAAGTTTCAGTGTGTCTTAGATGGCAAAGGAAACTGCCATTCATTTGAATGTTATTGAAGGGCTTTCTTTTGCTCTTAGCCCATATCACTGTGTCTTGCTGCTTGGGGGGCATATTGTCCTCCTTGGAAATCAGTGTAGTAGGTGTGGTCCTTACTACATACCTCGTGTTGTGGTGGGAGAAGCTTTTTTTAGCTTGAGGGTTGTAAAGGATGGCCTTACCACCATTTTCTTATTTTCAGCTATCTTTCTCCAACCATATTTGTGGGTTGATTTTGGCTCAGACCTTACAACTGTCTTCAGTGATTGTTGGGTAGAACTGGCAATGTAGGAAACCAAATCTAAGGGTATTAGAACTGAAAATATTTGATACTTTCTTTGTGGGTTCAGTAAGACTCCTTTTAGTCTCTTGTAAATGGTATAATTAACTTAGCATCATGATCAGCTTCCTGTAATATTCTTTAAAAATCACTATAAAATAGCAGACTTTGGAGTAGTAATCACAGAAGTGATGGAGGAACACATAATAACAGTAATTCCTATAGTATGTTTGTGATTATGTTTTTTTTAATTTGTTAATAAGTCTTTCATATGTTAGGACACTGTTCTGCAAAGCTTAGGCACTAAATGGAGAACTTGTCCTTTGAAAATTAGTATTGGTGAATAGTAAGAGTAGTAATAATAATAAAAAAAGATATAGTACAAGCTCTGGATACAGTGAGAAGATGAACAAGGCCAAGGCACTCAGCTCTTTAAGATCTATTTCTGCTGTATTTGAATAAGCATGAGACAAAGTTTTAGTGCAATTGAAAAATAATAAATCTTAAATAAATACATAGTGGCAGCATAATCGATGCAAATCTACGTAAATAAGTAGTCATGCTGAATTGGAATGTAGTGCTACTGAATGGACTGCTCAAGATTTCATTAATTGACAAAAACTGGAGAACATGTTTACTAAGAAAAATATCTTTTATCCTATACCAGTTGCTTTAGGTTGTTAATTTGAGAAGCTGATAATTTTGGACCATTAATCATAATAATTAGAGGCAGATTTAGTGAGCTTTAGTGCAGTTCTCAACTAGATTAATAGTTGTGTAATCCAGTGTTTATTAATATAAATGAAGTAAATTAGAAGCATGACATTATAAAGAGGAGGAAGAAACTTCAGGAACTTTCCTGGATCATCCCAAAACTCCATTAATTTACATCAACAGGTTGTTCTTCAGTAGTTTGCTTTGTTTTGTTTCAATCTTTTCCTTCCTCCCGTGCTAATAAAGAGGAATGTGTGCAGTGATCTCTAACTGTGTTTACAGTTCCTTAATATCCATAGATTTTGGGGTTTGGGTGGAGGGAGGGAGTAGAGAACTTCCCAGCCACGGGAAGCCGTGCGTTTTTATTTAATACATATTCTTATCAGGAAGATCATGTTCCTCATTCCCCTGGAGGCTCCGAGCCAGGGTTGCCAACACATGCGGGATTTCACGCGTCAGGAGACTCCCACCCCAGAGCGGTGGCAGCCGCTCGTCTGGGAGCGTTTCCGTGCGGGAGTTTTAGACGAGAAACCCCCTGCGCAGCGATGTTTCCTGGCTGCTTCCCACAGGTAGTGGGGGAGGGAATATCCCTTCTGCTGAAGATGTGACTGCTGCATCTGTGCCTGTCTAGCTTCGCTTCAGAGAGGACGTGGTGCACGATGATGGAACGGAGAGGTGAGGGGTTTTCCCGAACTCTCAGCTTTTCATTCCCTTCCCGAGGCCAGACGCCTGCAGGAGTCTGTGTTTTCCCACTCTGGGGTTCTCAAGGCACATTAATGCTCGCTTGTAGCAAAATGTCCCGCTTGAGCTGACCCCTCCCTGCAGTTCTGGCATGGGGTCAGAGGGTCTGTGTGCTCTCCTCTCACTGGGAAACGCAGATTTCCAGGGGCTGCGTTAAACTTGTGTGCACCTTCTTGTTGAGCTGTGTGTGTAGCTAAGGGGAAAGCTTCAGGTTTTTTTTTTAGGATTAGCATGAGTTTCTCATTATAAACTTAATGTTTCAGCGCTTCCAGAAATGAAAGGTTCCCCTGCTGGCCTGCTTGGGGCTCGTCGATTCCAATTCCAACATCTCTCTTTCAAAATCATTTCTTAAAAATTAGGGAGAAAATGATGAGAGTTTCACAAGGTTAAAAGCCTCCTGATAGCTGAAAAAAACTATAAATTAAAAATCTGCATGTGCATTTAGCAGCTGGAGGAAATCTGCATGTGTGTGCATGTCTTTTCTTATGTCTCCACCAAAACCCACTAACCAAACTGATCCACAGGTGCCCAAGAGCAGTCAGCAATTTCTTCCTGAGAGATTTTTTTCCTTTTAGAAGTAACTCCCCTTCCCCCCCCTGAAATGGGAGGCTTGTTTTTAACAGGGTAGTTCTTGACCTCCTTTCACCTTTTTGTTTTGGATACACAGGCTTAGCTTTGTATTGAAAACCACATTGCAAATCTGAATATTAATAGGAAACTCCTGAGCTTGCTACGAGGAAGGCACCAATTGCTTTATTCCTCTGTTTTGAACGGCAACTTCTTCTGATGCAAAACAGCAGGCAGCAGTTGTAAAGAAGATAATTTCCTATCCAATCCAGGCTCCTGGTTACAAATCACCTGACAGAAATATCATGAAGAAGTAGTTGTGCGACATGTGCTCGGCCGTCACTCCGGTTATTCCACAGCAGCTTTCCAGCGAGCGAGTTGGGAAATAAGACCTGCTTTCCAGTGGAAGCTCCTTAGGGTAGGTGGTTTCAATTTTGCCTCCCTTGATTTGAGTAAGACAAGCCTTGTTCGCAGTTGGGAATTCTTGTGGAGCGTGCCTTCGCATGCAATTTCTCATACCTTTTTGGATCATCTTAAAAGAAATCTATACCTGTAGTTGACCTACTTAATCTATGCAATTATTCCACTGTGCTTGGGTGTATGCACATTATGTTCTCGTCTCCGTTTTTTTTTTTTTTCCTAGTTTGGCAGTCATTTTATTCCTTGTTAAAAGTACCATTGGATTGGTAATGGGAGCTCGAGCTCGGGATTCCTATTGTTAAAATTACTGGCCAGAAGAATGGAGAATCACAGAATTGCAAAATCACAGCCCATTCACTGCCTTCTCCGAAATCCTGCTGGATTCATTTAGATTTATTTAATAGTGATGAGTAAGGAAACTGGAGTCCTGCTGAAAGCAAGTGAAACAACAGGGATTGTTGGTTCCAGTTAAAAATGCACCTGTTTCTAACCAGAGCTTGATGCTGCAACATCTCCATATCTATGGGTCTGCTAAGAGACTTCCCAAGAGCTGAGGGGTATCTTGTGCCTAATTGTTATCTTTTGGGTGATGCCAGGTTTACTTGAGTTCCTGCCTCCCTGGCTGTAAAGCTACAATATTCTTTAAAACTCCAGAGTCTGCAACTTCCATAGATGAAGTGTTTCTGGGTCAAATTGCATCTGAGCGGGACGTATGTAGAGATGATTCAGCCCTGTAACACCCTGTATGCTCTGTGATCCAGAGGATCTTAATAACCAGCTAAAATTGAAGGATATAAGTAGTTTTCCTGAAGACACTGAGTCACCCGATATTCTGGCTTAATAGTGGCACTCTTAACATACTGCATGACCTGTTCCTTAATCAATATGATTGAAAATCAGCAAATCTCTTTAACTGCCTTATGCTTGTTTTTGGTTAAAATTTACTCTTCTCAGTTGTGTTTAAATACTTACTAATGTGGGAAAGAATGGCGCTTTACTTGCCTTTTGTTATTGAGGATGTACATGTTACTAGGCATCTTTATGGAACATCAAAACCAGATTATAGATAAAATTAAATATGGGAGCTTTAAACCTAGCTATAGTAAATTTTTGGCAATATTAACATGTACACAGGGAGGACCAATAACTACTAGCTTCTTAGTCATACAGCATCTGTACTATTTAGTGATTTGGTTATAGCACTTTTGACCCTCATGTTTTTTACATTTTTCTTGTAAATGTTGCTTTTGTAGAGCTCCCCTGATAAATTCTTTCCCGTGTTTTCCAAAGTATTGCCTTGCCCCTTGGCTATCATAGGGAAACAGCTGTGATTTAAGACATCAGCTTTGCTATTAACATCAAGTGGCTGCATAACAGCTATGAATCATCTTTATGAATGTGTTCTGACTAAATCATAGGACTCATTAGGTGTGGATGGATGGATATCTGAGAAAGTGATATGGGTAATAGGCTGTCTTCCGAGATAATGAAAAAGTTTTCACCTTCACTTTTCTTTATATGCTTGCCTTGGAAATGGTGGCTCCAATACAAAACTTGCAAACATGCAGCTGCAAATGAGTCTGTCACTGTAAATCCAGTCCCACTCAAAGGGTTGATTCATGTGGTTGAATGGTCATAATTCACAGTTGGGACTTCTTTAGCAGAGTATTTTACCAGACAAGAACAAATTAAGTTTGGTTTGTTTTTTTTTCCAAGTTGGAAGTTCTCTGGCACCTGATGGCCGAGAGAAAATCATCCCTGGTGTTGTCGGAGGAAGGAGGGGAGATTTCGTGTCATGAGTCGTGCAGGAATGTGCAGAAAACAAATTCCCTGAGTTTCTGTTTTGCCAAAACAGCCATTTAAATAGCAAGCATTCCTTCCACACGTGGTCTCTGTGGGAGAGTATTTAATCTTTCCTTTATAATTTATTTATTTCAAGGAAATAATTTTATTCTTCTACAGAAGAAGCAGAGGTAGAAGAAAATTGCCTCTTGGCCAAGTCATATCTCTTAACCCAGCAAATACAATTCACCCCCCAAACAAGCTAGATTAATCTGCCCTTCTTGATAATGTTTTGCTATAATCAGATTTTACATAATTGCTCTCTAAATACTAATTTTTTTTTGATCAAGCTTTCAATTTATTTTCTGCAAAGAATGGTTATTTAACAACAAAAAAACAACAACCAAAAAAAATAGCCAGAACATTAAATGCCCCAAGACACGAACTCATTAGAAGCACATACTGAGATTGTTTAGGCTGATAGTGATGGTGATGATAATAATAATAATTGCATTACAGCAGTACCTTAGGATCCTAGCTGAAAATGAGGTTCTCATTCTTGTAGGTGCAAAACTAAGATCCTCTCCAGCTCTGAGAAGCTTCAAAATGAGAAATAAAATGAGAAGCAATGAGAGCTTGAATACAAATCTTCCCTTCCTTTTTTTCTTTAATTAAAAAAAAAAAAAAATCCTGTTTGGATTCTAACCAGATATAGAATCATTTAAGTTGGACAAGACCTCTCTGACCATTGAGTCCAACCATTAACCCAGCACTGCCAAGTCCACCAACATGCCAAGTTCTGTTCTTCAGCACCTTCAAAAGGAGTAAAACATCTGTCAGAGCATTCCTATGAAACACTGCCATGCAGGAATCTGGAAGCCCTGCCCTCTGATTTGTGCTAAGCAGTTAATAAAGAAATGAAATAATGAAGGGTGCAGGTTCCAACTGCAGTGATGCACACAGTGGTAGTAATAAGCAGGAGCAGATATGCCTGTTTGAAGGATGAATTGAGGTTTGTACCGAGCTATTGCTTTTACAGTCAAGCAGATGTCACTGGGCTTGCTTTACAGGATATTATGATATATGAAACCAGAGGCTTTTGAGTAGTAAAAATTACTCCTGTCAATTCGTCTTTGTGTATGGCACTTTGATATATCATTCACAGCTTAATTATATTGTCATAGTTGAGAGATTAAAACAAAAGTCAGGTTGACTCTTGCTTAAAACTCTCTCTGAAATAATGCTCGTAGGTGAAGGGGGAAGAAATCCATAAGATCTATATAAAATTCCATTGTAATGTATTGTGCCATCAATAACAGGTTCCTTCCATCCAGTTTCACACAGTGCACTTAGGGAGATATTCATCAGCTATCACTCACTGCACAGGAGCACAAACATCTAACACCAGACATATCCAGAAAAAAGGGAGAGAGTGGGAATTGTCCTTTGTACAAGCCTTGGAGTGGCTGGGGCACGGGTTGTGCCAAAACCCGTTGGAATTGGGGCGGTGGAACAAAGACAAAATCCACTGGTGCAGGTTTGACTGTAAGAAGTGCCTGATAACCCCATGTGGGAAGGTTTGGCTGTCACATCCACGGACAGGGACACAGTTACCTGTCCCCAGAGGAAACTGTTGGCTGATGGGATCTGGAGCCCCTTCAGCTGCCATTCCTGCCCCAGGGGATGGGAGGGGAGAAAGACTTGTTTTGGATCTTGAGCTGGACTCAGTTTTTTACCACAGAGACGTTTGTAATTTTTGGGTTTGGCTATTGACTGGCGAGTTACACATGGCAAAACAAACTCTGTAATCAAAATAAATTGCAGTATGTCATTTAGGCATACAGGCTCTGAGGCTTGATTGTTATCAACTAAAGTGATAGAAGCAAAACCAATTGAAACCCAAAGCAGAATTTTCTGTGTTCTCAGTCTCTCAGTTGCTCTTTGTGTTTGGGTATTTTACCTGCATCGAATAAGTTGCTCTTCTGTGAAGCTGTTGGTTGAAATGAATTGCATGTGGGTACCTAACAGAGGTTAACATGGCATCCAAAAAAATCTGGGCACTTAAATTAGGTTGAAATTTTTCAAGATGTTGTGTTTGGCATGCTGCTCCTGTACCCTGTGTTTCTGGATGCTGCTGTATTGCATAGACAAATTAAATGTAATATTAATGATTACTGCCAGGTGCTGCATTAAAAAAAAAAAAAGTAATTTTAATATTAGACAAGTAAATGTAAATTAAGGTAAAGTTGTTAATACAGTTCATGGTATTATTTGTGGCACATGTTTTATATACATTGATTCAAATGATGGGTTGAGGCATGCACTTAATTTATTTAACGACTTCCTGCTGTAGCTGTGATTTTTGCCCATGGGTGGCTTTCAGAGTGACAGCTTGGAAGGCAGAGAAAGGTTGTTTATCTTTTAACTTCAGGGTGAGAAGGTAAAGGTGTGGACAGGCAGAGGTGCTGGTGACAATGCCAAGAGGTGTATGCTTGACAAAAATGGCTATTGAGGATTTTTTTTCATTGAAAATGATCACTTTCAAACACTGTGGAACTCTTTCTGTGGAGGCAAAGGTAGAGCTGGGGATGTGGCACATGAGGACAGAACACTTTTTATGTATGTAAGCAAGTAGATTAATGGAACATCCGTAAAAAGTTCAGACATACAATCTTCTTTACTTATTTTACCACTAAAAGATGTGACTGGCTGTCATAAATTATTAATCTGAGCTTTCTAACTGTACCAATTTCGTGCTTCTGCCTTTCTCTTCAGTAGTTTAATGAAATTATACTTGCTTCCCTCACATATTAAAGAGCCTGTGTAATAAAACAACCAAAAGAAAACCTTATGTGATTCCCTGGATACCTGGATGTAATGAAATGGATTGGAATCGAATGTTTTAATATATTTGCTTTGCTAAAACAGATTTTTTCCATGCAAAGTACTTGTATAATTTAGTTAAACACTTTTTAAACCAATTTTACATGTTTGGAAGAAAATCCCCATATAGTATGCTTTAATTTTGTAAGAATGCTGCAACAAAATGATAGCTTGCCACTAATTGCTTGTAGAGCACGTGAGAGAAAATTTTTTGAAAGCTTTTGATCAAATTCAGAAAACAAACCTTCAGCATTCAAATATTAAGATTTCAGCATTCTAGGAAAGTGAAGGTTTTCTTTTCTCCCCATGCTAAGAACCCAGTTTGAATTAAGT